GGGAATAATTAAAGTTTGACCTCGCTAAATTATAAAAACGTAGCAATTGGATTCTAACTATTAAGAAAGTTATCGATTGCTGACCTTCTAACTATAAACATACAAATGGAGCCCCATGAAACTATTGACATATTTCACTTTGACTCATTTTTTATTGCATCTGTGAATAACCAAACTTTTATAACATTTTTAAGCGAAAATAGCCCCTTGAGTATATTTAGCAATTGTCATTATTATTACGTCCTAAATTTTTTAAAAAAGATATAAAGTTCATACCGTTATTATTGTTTTTATTATTATTATTTATTATTATTTTAAATATTCCTGAGTAAATATATTTGCAGAAAGAATATTAAAAAAAAAACTAAAAAAATGAGGGAAATTGAGAAGAAGTGTTTTTGGGGTGTTGTTATAGGAGTGTCGAATTATATTTTGTGTCTAAAAAATGTCCAAGTGTGTAACGATATGAGTCAAAGTGAAACATGTTGAACAATTTAGAGGGTCTATTTGTAATGATTTTTAATAGTTTAGGAACGTTAAAGTGCATATTTCTGCAATAGTTTAAGGATCAAAGAGTGGTATTTCTTTAATAAGTTTTCTGCTCAATCAAGTTTGCAGATTGGGCAATTGCCAAATTTGAAGATACATTAAAAATGATTTTTTTTCATACTTTTGAAAGTTATGAAGAAATGGAATTGTTTAATTATGAATAATAAATGAGAAAACAAGTTACAAGTTATGAAATTCATGTGTAAAAATCCTAAAAAAAAAAAAAAAAAAACCAAACTTGCTTGGTGTTATGTGACAAAAAATAAAAAATTAAAAAAAATAATAATAATAATAAAAAAATGAAAAGAACAATATAATTTTTTTTTTATTAGGCAAAGAGAGGAGCTCTTTATTGAGTAGTAAAGGAGATGCATTGAAAACGGAGAACGGAGGTTGCATAACATCCGTTTAGATGGAGAGATTTGGGTGAGAAAAAGAAAAGAAATGGTAGAATCGAAAAGGCCCTCAGCTTGTTTGAATGGTTAGATAAAGTGAGAAAATGAGGACGAGAGATTGTGAGGAAAAGACTTCCACAAACTTGAGTGTTTGTCTAGTCACAAAGATGGTGAGAAAGAATTGGATTTAATAAACTTTTTTAATATGTGCTTTAACATAGAAATTGTAAAAATGAAAATACAACTCTTTCCTTTCTTTCTTTTATTTTATTTCTACCAGAACAATATAAAAGTAAGAAATCACATTATATCCCTGCTTTTTCTTCATCTAAATATGATTGTGAGAAAGTAATAATCATTTCTTTCTTCTTCTTCTTTTTTTTTTTTCAGCTTAAGTGGAGAATTTTAATAATTATTTCGTTTGTCTCATCTTGCCGCTCGCGAGTCGAAACCAGTGGTAAATGTTGGATACAACAGTGGCAGAAGCAGCAAGGCGCCCGCCAAAGCGTCACAAAGGCACAAAAACAAACAAAGGAAAAGAAAAGCAAAAATGAAAAACAGAGTGATAGCAACACAACTAACTTCCCTATCAATGTGAAAAGCTAACTAATAGAGTCGACAAAACGCACACAGCAAACGGCCAACAAGCAGCAACCACTCGAGCAACCCAAATATAAATAAATCCAACCGGCAAGCTTTGTAGCAAATAAGCCCTATTAAACTACAACAATGTCATGCAACCGAAAGCAACAAATGCAAAGCCATATCCCTTAAGGATCAAAATGAGATTTGGGTTCTTTTTCAACCATGGAATAAATGCAAAACAGTATCTTTAAGGGATCGAAAATATATCCTTAGAGGATCAAAAAATGTGAATATGGGTTTTTTTTCAACCGTGAAATAAGATGCAAACATATCTTTAAGGATGCGAAATGAGATTTTGAAGTTCTTTTTTGGCATAATGAATAAATTAGTGGTCATCCGTGCGATATACAGAGTTTTAGAAAGTCAAGTAATTACTAAAAAAAAAAAAATTTTTTTATTTGTTTATATTCCTAATATTTTTATTTCGGTTTGTGGTGATAGAAATCTTTTACTTCATATCATTAAAAAATATTTAATAATTTCACATTTTGAAAAATTTTAAAAAAAGTATAAATACATTAGTAAATCATCAACATATATATAGCTAATTTATCTAAGAATTACTTTGAGAAAACAAGTAGAGTAAGCAAAGGCATATTATAAATTAATCAAAATGACTAAATGATATTAAAGATAAAAAGTAACGCTAATTGTTTTGCTTAATCAATAGTAGATATTACGCAGTAATGCATCTCATATAATACAATCAATTAAAGATAGAAATTCAATTTTAATTCCCATGTATATTTAGTTAGTGGGTGGTTAAAATTTTTTACATGCTAAATTTGTTTTTTTTTTTCGTTATATTGATTCTATTAAACACAAATATAGGTTTGGAATAATTATAAAAGAAATTAAAAAAAAATGTTTGAAAATGCAATTAAACTGTGAAATTGGAGCAAGACATAAAGAATATAAATTTAAATATTCAAAAAAAATTCATTTTAAATATGGAAATATCTTCCATTTGCCTCAAACTTCTGAATCTAAATAAATAAATAAATATTTAAACCAAAGAGAGAATTTTATGGTTTTTGGTTCTCAAAGGAAATGAGTTACTAAAAAATAAATTTAAATCATGACATTATTTCAATAGGATAAGTCAACAATTAAAATCAACTGATGAATACATTTTAAAGTATAACGCCAATTATCCAATAATTTTTGATTCGTTCATTTTCGAATATAACATCTACAACCAAAAGAAAAAAAAAATAATTTAAACACAGATAATCAATAAGTGATAGAGTTTACAAATTGATAAATAGCAGCTGCTTTTTAGCAAATAAGATAAAAAAAGAATAAAATCTCAATTAAATTGAACAAATCATTAAGCAAAAAGAAAGAAATAGGAAAAATCAGATTGTAATCAAAAAAAAAAATTAAAAAAATAATAATGTTCATTTATATGAACTCACTTTCTTACAAAGGCAATAAACTCATGCAAGTACACATTTCAATGTAAAGCAAATATTGAAGATTTTTAGGCACCGAAAAGGGATTAAGAATAAATGGCTCAACGTTGATTGTTTTTCCCCCATAATTTTCTGTTCATGTTTCTTGTTTGTAGGAAGTTGTTTTATATTAAGAAGATTATGTTTGAGAACAAAAGACATATATCGAATTCTATTCATGTTTAAAATTTGTATGGATAAGTAAGTTGATGATTTTTAAAAGATATAAATATTAATTCCACTTTAAAGATAAACTTTGAAATATTAGTTGAAATAATATAGAAAATTCTTATAACAAACTAACAAAAGATAAATAATAGATCCGTTAAAAAAATTGATCATCTTTTTTGAGATATTTATATCCCAATCTTATTCTTTTTTTAATTTTAATATTTTTATCTTTTATTTGAAATTTCATTAAATAAGTTATATTTTTTATTTTTGTATATTTTTTCATGTTATATTTATTTGTTATTCATATATAGCATAATTATTTTTTTTATTTTAAAAATCATTTGGCTCATAGATATTTTTTTAATTTAATTTTTTTTAATTGTTCATATATAAATAGTTAACTTTTTTATTTTTATAATTAATTGACTCGTAATATTTTTTATATAGTTATTTTTTTATCTTTTATTTGACTCTTTATATTATTTTGTAGTTGAAATTTGAATAGTTATCTTTTTATTTTATTTATTTTAGATTATGTTTAAACAAAAGATATATATATATACAATTCTATCATATTTAAAATTTGTATGAATAAGTAATTGATGATTTTAAAAGATAAAATATTAAGTTCCACTTAAAGATAAACTTTGAAAAGATTAAGTTGAAATATATAGAAATTCTATAACAAACTAACAAAAGATAAATATAATTCGTTAAAAAAATTATCATCTTTTTGGGATATTTATATCCCAATCTTATTCTTTTTTTTATTTAAATATTTTGTTATCTTTTATTTGAATTTTCATTAAATAGTTATATTTTTATTTTTGTATATTTTTTCATCTATATTTATTTGTTATTCATATGTACATAATTACCTTTTTATTTTAAAAATCATTTGACTCGTAATATTTTTTTATTTAAATTTCTTTTTAATTGTTCATATATAAATAGTTAACTTTTTATTTTTATAATTAATTGACTCGTTTAAAATTTTATTTATTTATTTATTTTATCTTTTATTTGACTCTTTATATTATTTTGTAGTTGAAATTTGAATAGTTATCTTTTTATTTTATTTATTTTAGATTATGTTTAAACAAAAGATATATATGGAATTTTATCATGTTTAAAATTAGTATGGATAAGTAATTGATGATTTTAAAAGATAAAATATTAAGTTCCACTTAAAGATAAACATTAAAAAGATTAAGTTCAAATATATAGAAATTCTATAACAAACTAACAAAAGATAAATATAGATCGTTAAAAAAATTATCATCTTTTTGGGATATTTATATCCCAATCTTATTGTTTTTTTTATTTAAATATTTTGTTATCTTTTATTTGAATTTTCATTAAATAGTTATATTTTTATTTTTGTATATTTTTTCATCTATATTTATTTGTTATTCATATATACATAATTACCTTTTTATTTTAAAAATCATTTGACTCGTAATATTTTTTTATTTAAATTTTTTTTATTGTTCATATATAAATAGTTAACTTTTTTATTTTTAAACACACACACACACACATAGCACACACCAAACCCAGCTCTCTCTTCTTTCTCTAAGACACACCCAGCGCATAACACACACACACTGATACACGCACACACACACACACTGATGGCTTCAACACACAACCACACCCACACACACTGATACACACACACAACAGACACAACGCACACAGTACACACGGCACAGACTAGGACATCAACACACATGCATCTACAAGCACACACCCACACTGATACACACGCGCACACACACACACGAATCTCCGGTACCTCCTCCCCAAACCCAATCCTCATCAGCAGCCCACACACATTCCCCTCCGCCGAGCACCGCCACGGCGGCGTTCCGGCCACCATCTCCGCCACCAAACACCCCAAAGCCCATACGTCCGCAGCCGCCTCCTGCTGTCCGGCCACCACTGTCTCCGGCGGCATATACATCGGCGTACCTCTCAACTCAAAACCCACGATCTTCTCTCCCGATTTCTTCGCCAAACCAAAATCGACGATCTTCGCGACATCGTTTTGACATAGAAGAACGTTTTGAAGCTTGAGATCACAGTGAACAAACCCATTCTCGTGAATACATTGAAGGCTCTGACTCTTGGATATTTCTAAATTCACTGTTCCGAAGCTTCCATGGCCGAGTAAATCGCCTCGAACCCACTCCATGGGAGCGAAAATCAGATTGAATTCTGGGTTTTGCCTTGCCTTGCCTTGCCTTGCTTGTGGTCTTACTCTGTCACAACTAACTCTGTTTTGGGGATTGGTATATATATATATATATATAAGATCTTGATATTGGTGGCGAAAAACATAACAAATATGGGTAAAATCGTCCACACAGTTACACTAAATATGGAAAATAGGATCAGCAAAAAACAAACTTCCCCACTGATAGGACTTATCCGATGGATAAAAAAAGTTATTGGGTAATTTTAGAGTAATGCATCACAACATTTAACTTGTCATACTTGTTCAACATAAAATTAGTAAATCCTATTATTTAAATCAATAAAAATCAAGTTGAAACACAATCAGTATGTTTGGTTTTAATTTTTTAAGTTCAATTTTCTAGAAATTAAAAAAAAATCATATTTTTTTTTGTTTTTAGTGAATATTTTTAAATTTTTAAGCAATTTTTTTTTATTTTTTTATATGCACCTTACTTGGATGTATCTAAATAATAAAATATTTGTGAAAAAATATTTTAAAATTTTAATAAATATACAAAATATAAAAAATATGCCTGTATTTTTTTGTATTTTTTATATTTAGTAATTTTTTTAAAAAAGTTTTTTTCACACAATATTATACTTTTAAGGTGTATTTTATGTTTAGGTGTGTCTAAAAATTAAAAAAATTACTTAAAATATGTGTTTAAAAATTACTGAAACAAAAAAATACGGAAAAATGAAAAAATAAAATTTTCTGAAAAAATGAGTTCTGAAAATTAGAAACATAAACAGACCGCCGAATATGTTAGAATAACTTGTTATTAAATTTGGGGGGGAAAAAATTAAATCAAAAAATAGAGTCAAAAACATTTATTTTTCTCAAAATTTTTTTTTTTGTTTATTTAAATAAATTTTACCTAATAATTTATAAAAATAAAAGAGAAAATTGTTCTAATAGGTCCCTCATCCCACATTTTTCGTAATGGAAGGAGACCACAAAATTATTTTATTGATGTCTAAGTCCCTAAACATATATCAGAGGAAAGTTGATTGTTTGATCCTCTTCCTCAAAACCTCATTGCCCGATTCTTCTCTCTCTAGCAAACCTCGCCCAATTCTCTTTCGTTCTTTTTTTTTTTTGATTCTTTCTCTATACTTTCTAGAATCTCTCAACCTGATTCATCTTGGATCTATAAACCACACCACCTGCATTGTTGTCTTTCGTCTTAGGGTCTTACGAGCCACATGCGTTCTGTTCGCAATTCTCGCTCTTTCGAAGCCATGCAATTGCTCTGCTTCGAGCAAAGGAGCCTGATCTTATCAACTTCGCCGCCTACTACCCAACAGGCAGGTACAACCGAACCCTAGAAAACACCGTTTGAGACGTCCGGCGAGGCATTCGAGCGTTTTGGGTGGTCTTTGTTTCTTGATGATTGGTGTGTTTTGAATTTTGTGTGAGGAAGGAAAGATGCGAACTCTAATGCAGAGGAATTTCTTTAACAACAACAAATTCCCACACTGGTTCAGACAGTTACCACGCTAATAGAACCTTCATAAACATTTTCTTTTCTTTTATTTTCATCATCTTTCTTGCCATTCCTACGCAACCAAATTAATAGAAGTATGAATACATACAGCAAAACCTTTGCGCAACATGTGCTATGTCCTAACAACCCTGGCCAAAGATCTGCTAGCAAGCAAACTGTACTTGTCATCTATACAAGCAAGAACATACACTTGCCTGTTTCATTTGTGAATCTAATTCTTTCGTCTGTAATGCATATCAGTTCAAAATACATAAAGCATATCAAATTTTGTTTTTACTGAAATCTTACTATCCTCTAGAAAATAATTCGGGAATCCAGAGAAATTCTAGCCAAAGAAATTTCAAACCGGTCTCTCCCCCTCATCTTCCTCTCTGCTCATCCCGGCCATGTAGTGGTGCCTGTACTGTGTGTTCCGATGCTACTGGTTCTTTTTCCATCTCGGCAATCTCACCGTCCATGGTACTGGGTCTAGTTATGTTGTAGGTCCGATGATTCAAGAAAAGATCCCCCTAGGAATTTCTTTGGGTGATTCCAGAGCAATTTTCTCTAGTTTCAACCCACAGGAAAATCAATTCAACACCAACCTCAACACCACGCGCAACTCATGGCAGCAAGCTTCTGATCAAACTCTCTCTCTTTCTGCAGTGTCAGGTTTGAAAAATATATACAGTATGCCATGGACCAGCTTGAACAAGGATGTATCTCCTACCAGTTTCTTCTCCTAAGAAGTTCCATCTCCCCCTTCAATGGAGGATGGGTTTTTCAGGCTCTTCCACCTGAAGTTCCCCCCGGATGTTGGGAATCTAGGAGTGAGATACCCTAGTCTGGATTCAGCTGTTCACAGTGATGAAGTTCCACTTCAATGGAAATTCTTCTGATAATGGAATTATGTATATAATAATTGTACTGTTTGCCTTTTTCCTCACCTTTGAGAACAAGGAAGTTGCAGTGAGGTAGGGAATTCTTATGTTCAAAAAAAAAAAGGGCGCCAGAGAAAATATACAGTTGGGAAGTTTTAAGAAAGTTCAGGAACAAATTATTTACAAATCTCTCTGAAGTCCAGAAAAATTCTTAATTTCTGGAACCATTTCATCTGACCTTGAATTTCATCCTGGACCAATTTCTCTAGATTGATGTTGAGGACTTTAGACATCATGAAAATATTTGATGTCCTTTTCTACTATAAATCATAATATCATGGACTTTAAAAAATACCCCTAAAATAAAAATTGTAACAAATAATTTAACACAACACTCCAAAAAAATGAATTAGAAACTATACCAAATAACCGATAACCTTTATTACAACATCACCAACTTGTTTGGAAAGGGGCTAATATTGTCAGAAAAATCAAAAATTAACATAAATTGTGATATCACTTTTTTTATTATTATACACTTTTGTTTTATAAAAAAATAATTAAAAATATTAATTAAAAAAACTAATTCATAAGGGACTTCCTAAATAATTTTTCCTCTCATCATTGGAAGTTCGCAAACAATGGGAAAGGCTTGTACGCACGTGTGGGGCCGTTTTGGCAGGTGACGAGCGCACACCAGTTTTAACAATTATGGAAAGGGAAATGTGCTAGTCAAAGTCTCAATATGGCCCAATTTTGGTCTAACAATCATTTTCTATGCTACTGTCGGACGCTGGATCTGTCAGACTTATCTAACATTAATTTAATTTGATTTGATTTAATTTTATTTTTTTTTTCCCCACCAATCCCAGTTTAAATTATTACACTCGATTGCTAAAGTTCGATTATTTTAATAAATTATTTAATTTTTAAATTATTATTTTAATTAAGTTAAATTTTTATATTTAAAAAGACAGTTTATATTTTTTCTATAATTAAATGTGATATTTCTAAAAAAAATGAAATAATTATAAATTTCGATATGAAAGTTTGTATTATTAATTATTTTAACCTATTTATTTTTAAATTTTTTTAAAAAGAAAAATTTAGCCTTAAAAACAAAAAAATCTCTTTACCAAACACAACCATAATAGGCTAGAAGGATAAATAAATTCATGATTAAATACATTTTCAACTCTACATCTAATTTAAAAATTGATAATAATATCGAAAATATAAAAAATCCTGAATTGTATTTTGTCGTTAATAGTTTGTTTGAATTATTTTATCATTAAATGCTTAGTAAACTATCGTTAGCAAGAACCTTTTTTTAAATGAAGAAAGTTGCTAATTTAGTATGAAAAAATACTTTTTACAAATTTCTAATAATAACTGCGTTGTGAATTAATCATTTTTCACCCATTTTTCCCGTTTTAATTAGAGTTTATACAACAAATGATATGGTAAGACTGGCTGTATTAGAAAATAATGAGACCCAACCATTATTTGAATTATGATAAATTTCATAGTTATATAATATACTTATATATGATGTGCTGTGTGTGTGGTGTTTGTGAGAGTCATTTCCGATCACAACTGCCCAATCTCAGTATTCAGTTCCAGGAGAGCACTGACAGAATAGATGGACACCTGGCTGACCTGCCCAACAGAAATAAAGAAGATTCCGCGTGTTCTTCCACCCGGGGGCACTCCACGATCTAGTTAGTATATCTCTCAAAGATATTCAATAGTGCCTAAATTCACTGTCAGAATTAAATTTGCGTTACCTTAGACCCATGGGGGGTGCCTCTCTCTTTATTAAGTAACTCAAATCCTTGTGCCTACTAGAAGCCTGCTTCAATGGATTCGTGTCCAGTACTTATCCTGACTTTCCAAGAGATAAAGATAAAACTCCCTAAGAGTGTTATCCTTATCCAGTGCAAACTTCCTTCATGCATTCTAGAACTCTTGTCCCTTATCCGCTTATCTCGGATCCGATATCTTTTGAGATAACCTCGGCCTCTGCCGAGATAATCTCCGACGTCCGATGACCTGACACGTGCATTGTCGGCCTATTTGTAACGATCTCCGGCTGAACCCCGAATGCACTTGCAGAGATACCGATATAGGTTCCATACCTCAGAATGCCGAAGTATAGACATTAGCGGCAGTTTGGGGTATATTTTCTGAAGTACCAAAACACGTGCTAGGTGATGCCGAACGTGTCAGCCGAGCTGCCACGTGTTCCAGGTCATGACGTCGAGATTATCTCGGCCGAAGGCCGAGTTATTCCAAAATATCGAAATCGAGATAAGCGGATAAGGGACAAGAGTTCATTAGAATGAATGAAGGACTTTAGCATGGTGATAGCGATACACACTCTTAGGGAGTTTATCTTATCTCTTGGAAAAAGTCCAGGAGTAAGGTACTGAGCAAGAATCCATGAACAGCTAGCTTCTAGTAGGACAAGGATTGAAGTTAATTATGAAAAGAGAGGCACCCCCCATGGTCTAAGGATACGCAATTATATTCTGAACAGTGAATTTAGCACTATGATTATCTTTGAGAGATTATACTAACTAGATCGT